GTAAATCTGTATATTAAAAAGTGCTCAGCCAAATATGATATAAAAACACATAAATGAAGTGAAATGGAAACACGAGAACAAATCAATATAAACATTCAGGCAGTCCTTGTAAATAGTTGCAGTGCATGTGACAGGTTCTGCCATCAAAAAAAGAGTGATCTACAGTTACTCTATTTTTATTTTAAATTGATTATTCTAGACGTAGACGTCAGTGGAAATATAAGATGAAAGGTACAAAAATAAGACCATTTTAGCTTAAAATCAACAACTTTATGTTAAAGTACGAAGTGTATGATACATCATAGGTGACAGATTATGTCGCTATATCAGATTATCTCATTTGACATGGATTCCATGCCATGAGTTAGATTGCACAAGACGTCTATTTTTATCTCATGTCTAAATTAAATTTGAGATTTTGGCATCTTTACGGAATTCCTACCCAGTGTTTTTGTATTGTACTTAATTTATTCAATAAACAAAATAAAACAGAGATATCAAGTACTAACCAATTTCACAATTTTTGCCTGAATATAGTCTGAAGCAAGCACAACTGTATCCACCAAAACCATCTGGTGTGCATCTTCCACCATTCAAACATGGGTTTGGTTGACAAGGTTCAGTTGGTTCTGAAAAATCATTCAAGAAAATATCAATTAAATAAATGTAATTCTCTGTCATAAAAAATGGAAACACAAAACAAAAAAAATTACAAACAAGTCAATGAGGCAATGAAAAAAAATAAGACAGGGTGGCCTGAAATTACTATAACTGTATATAAATTAGTGCTGAACCATTTAGACCTAAAAAAAAAAATCAGAAAAAATGAGTGAAATGGAAATAAATGACTACTAATTATTACAATAACATAGGCGACTGTTGTGAGTAGGTGCGAAAAAAAGGATGTGACTGTATCTGGCGTCAAAATAAAGAAAAAAAAGATTTACATCAACTCTATATTTTTTAAGACTGTTCATTCCAGATGCTAATTGACAAAGGAAATATATGATTAAAAGGAGATTCTGGTTAAAAATTTACAAGATTTTGGTAACTTAAAAAAACGTGGTTTTAATTAATCAGATATGAAATATTTGTGACATGATGAAATGATTCAAAAATATTTTTGAGTTTCACTCAATTTCGCTATTTTAATCTAACATAACTAGAGAAATGCACAATAGTTATTTCAATAAAATTAACCATTCTTGCATGAAAATAATCAGAGGACTTGGAATATTTCAAGTATAAACAACAAAATTTGAATACAAATATATTATAGAAAACAGATTATATAGCTACCACTATATCAGGCTGTTTCTTGTGACATATATCCCATTACACAGTGTGAGATTACATATGTTATCATTTTTAATTACATCACTTAATCTAATTCGAGAGGGTATCAACTTTCTTGAATTCCTACGCAATATTTTCATATTGTGTTTCATTTTTTTAATAAGCAAAATGACATAAAGAAAGCAAGTACTAACCAATTTCACAGTTTTTGCCTGAATAAAGTCTGAAGCAAGCACAACTGTATCCACTCTCACCATCCGGTGTGCATCTTCCGCCGTTAAAACATGGGTTTGGTTGACAAGGTTGAATTGGTTCTGAAAAATCATTTGAGAATAAATCAATCCTACTATAAATTTACTTCTCTGCTAAAAAAAATGAAAACACAGAACACAAAAAAATCACAAACAAGTCAATGAGGCAAAGAAAAAAAAATAAGACAGGGTGGCCTGAAATTATTATAACTGTATATAAATTAGTGCTGAACCATTTAGACCTAAAAAAAAATCAGAAAAAATGAGTGAAATGGAAATAAATGACTTCTAATTATTACAAAAACATAGGCGACTGTTGTGAGTGGGAGTGAAAAAAAAGCATGTGACGGTATCTGGCGCCAAAATAAAGAAAAAAAGATTTACATTAACTCTATATTTTTTAAGACTGTTCATTCCAAATGCTAATCGACAAAGGAAATATATGATTAAAAGGAGATTCTGGTTAAAAATCACAATATTTCGGTAACTTAAAAAAACGTGGTTTCAATTAATCAGATATAAAATATTTGTGACATGATGAAATGATTCAAAAAATTTTTTGAGTTTCACTCAATATCGCTATTTTAATCTAGCATAACTAGAGAAATGCGCATTAGATATTTCAATAAAATTAACCATTCTTGCATGAAAATAATCAGAGGACTTGGAATATTTCAAGTATAAACAACAAAAGTTGAATACAAATATATTATAGAAAACAGATTATATAGCTACCACTATATCAGACCGTTTCTTTTGACATATATTCCATGACACAGTGTGAGATTACATATGTTATCATTTTTATTTACATTACTTAATCTAATTTGAGAGGGTATCAACTTTCCCGAATTCCTACCCAATATCTTTATATTATATTTCATTTTTTATAATAAGCAAAATGACATAAAGAAAGCAAGTACTAACCAATTTCACAGTTTTTGCCTGAATAAAGTCTGAAGCAAGCGCAACTGTATCCACTCTCACCATCCGGTGTGCACCTTCCGCCGTTTATACATGGGTTTGGTTGACAAGGTTGAATTGGTTCTGAAAGGTCATTTGAGAATAAATCAATCCTACTATAAATTTTCACTTCTCTGCTAAAAAAATGGAAACACAGAACACAAAAAATCACAAACAAGTAAACGAGTTGAAAAGAAAACAAAGAGGCGAGCATAGTCTAATAAAGTAAATCTGTATATTAAAAAGTGCTCAGCCAAATATAATATAAAAACACATAAATGAAGTGAAATGGTAACACAAGAACAAATCAATATAAACATTCGGCAGTCCTTGTAAATAGTTGAAGTGCATGTGACAGGTTCTGCCATCAAAAAAAGAGTGATTTACAGTAACTCTGTTTTTATTTAAAATTGATTATGCTAGACCTAGACGCCAGTGGAAATATAAGGTGAAAGGTACAAAAATAAGACCATTTTATCTCAAAATCAACAATATTATGTTAATCTACGAAGTGTATGATAGATCATAAGAGAAAAATTATGTCACTATATCAGATTGTTTCATTTGACATGGATTCCATGCCACGAGCTAGACTGCACAAGACTTAATCTCATGTCTAAATCCAATTTGAGATTTTGGCATCTTTCCGGAATTCCTACCCAGTGTTTTTGTATTGTACTTAATATATTTAATAAACAAAAAAAAAACAGAGATATTGAGTACTAACCAATTTCACAATTTTTGCCTGAATAAAATCTGAAGCAAGCACAACTGTATCCACCAAAACCATCTGGTGTGCATCTTCCGCCATTCAAACATGGGTTTGGTTGACAAGGTTTAGTTGGTTCTGAAAAATCAGTCAAGAATAAATCAATTAAATAAATGTAATTCTCTGTCATAAAAAATGGAAACACAAAACAAAAAAAATTACAAACAAGTCAATGAGGCGAAGAGAAAAAAATAAGACAGGGTGGCCTAAAATTATTATTACTGTATATAAATTGGTGCTGAACCATTTGGACCTAAAAAAAAAATCAGAAAAAATGAGTGAAATGGAAATAAATGACTACTAATTATTACAAAAACATAGGCGACTGTTGTGAGTATGTGTGAAAAAAAAGCATATGACGGTATCTGGCGTCAAAAAAAAGAAAAAAAGATTTACATCAACTCTATATTTTTTAAGACTGTTCATTCCAGATGCTAATCGACAAAGGAAATATATGATTAAAAGGAGATTCTGGTTAAAAATCTACAAGATTTTGGTAACTTAAAAAAAAGTGGTTTTAATTAATCAGATATAAAATATTTGTGACATGATGAAATGATTCAAAAATATTTTTGAGTTTCACTCAATTTCGCTATTTTGATCTAGCATAACTAGAGAAATGCACAATAGTTATTTCAATAAAATTAACCATTCTTGCATGAAAATAATCAGAGGACTTGGAATATTTCAAGTATAAACAACAAAATTTGAATACAAATATATTATAGAAAACAGATTATATAGCTACCACTATATCAGACTGTTTCTTTTGACATATATTCCATGACACAGTGTGAAATTACATATGTTATCATTTTTAATTACATCACTTAATCTAATTTGAGAGGGTATCAACTTTCCCGAATTTCTACCCAATATTTTTACATTGTGTTTCATTTTTTTAATAAGCAAAATGACATAAAGAAAGCAAGTACTAACCAATTTCACAATTTTTGCCTGAATAAAGTCTGAAGCAAGCACAACTGTATCCACAAAAAAATCACAAATAAGTAAACGAGTTGAAAAGAAAACAAAGAGGCGAGCATAGTCTAATAAAGTAAATCTGTATCTAAAAAAGTGCTCAGCCAAATAATATATAAAATCTCATAAATGAAGTGAAATGGAACCACAAGAACAAATCATTATAAACTTCCAGGCAGTCCTCTTAAATAGTTGAAGTGCATGTGACAGGTTCTGCCATAAAAAAAGAGTGATCTACAGTAACTCTATTTTTATTTTAAATTGATTATTTTAGACGTAGACACGTCAGTATAAATATATGGTGAAAGGTACAAAAATAAGACCATTTAGCTTAAAATCAACAACTTTATGTTAATGTACGAAGTGTATGATAGATCATAGGAGAAATAAATATAATTCTCTGCCATTAAAAATGGAAACACAAACCAAAAAAAAAATTACAAACAAGTCAACGAGGCGAAGAGAAAACAAGAAAACAGGGTGACCTAAAATTATTATTACTGTATTAAAATAAGTGGTCAACCACTTAAGCCTAATAGAAAAGAATCACAGAAAATGGGTGAAATGGAAATAAATGAATACTAATAATTATAAACACATAGGCGACCGTTGTGAGTAGATGCAATATAAAATGCATATGCCGGTATCTGCCCGAAATGGGAAAACAAATACGAATTATTATAAACATCTAAGCGATATTCATGAAAATTCGCAATAAAAAATGCATGTGACAGGATCTGCGATCAAAACAAAGGTAATCTGCGATCAAAACAAAGTAATCTACAATAACTGCCATATATTTAAAATTTGTTAATTCAAGACGCAAAATGCCAGTGGAAGTACACAGTGAAATGTGAAAAATGAGACATTGGTAAAGTCCCACCAAAATAAAGTTGCAAATCAACAATATCAATACTGGTTTTTGTCGTGAGATCTAAAGTTTCACCCAAAACTGATTGTCAGATAATAATGGTGAATTTTTTCATCCAACAATCCCTGAAATATTTTCTCATATATGCACATGCAACTCACTTATCCTTTATGTCTTTCAAAATTTCATATAGACTGGTTTAATACCTAATTATTGATGTACCTAATAAGACTACTTTACTTCATGTGTCATAAATGCAAAATGTACATCTGTCTGGTTGTGGGAACAATATATTTATATAGGACTCAATCAAGAATCTTTGTGTCTATAATTTGTCTAAAGAGTGATCAAAATGAACCAAATTGCATTGTCAAGTATGAAAATTGTATGCAAACAATAAAAACCGAGAACAATCAAATTATTCATGAATATAAATAAGTGTTATATATTAGTATATAAATATACTTGTGCAAGTTTTTCCATCTCCTATATATCCTTCTAAGCATTTGCATCTTATTCCATCATCCGTTTCTGAGCAAATTGCATTTTCATTACATGAATCATATTTGCATTCTAAAGGTTAAATGCCAAAATAAAAGTTTTTATTTGACACAAAAAGCTTGCATTATAATTAGGGAGGGACTCGAAATCCAGAAAATGACAACATATTTTTTAAGATAAAAATAAATCTGGTAAGTTTATTTTCAACCCATTAATGCGTATATTCGCATGTACTGATGTAATTAGCATTTGGTCCTGTTAACGGGTTAACAGTCTACCAGAAATTTGAGAAATATTGTGATATTTTAAGTTCTGCTGCATTTTCGAGTAAACCAAAGAGTTTAAAGCTGTTATGTTATGTAATTGCAATGTCTTTATGTATATAAATTCTGAAAGTTTTAAACTCTGTAAAAAAATAAAGTTGAGTCAGTGTAAAGAACTTCAATTATCAAAAATATTGACAGCCATGCCGACAATATAAGGAAACTTTTGTTAGTAAAACTGAGAAAAAAAAGAATGAGTTATAGGAATGTATGACTAACTTGGTTTACAGTCTTCAAGTAGTACACATGTCGAGTCATCTTTGGAAACTTGTACATAACCTTTCGAACAAACACACTGAATACCTATATCACAGTTCTGTGTGCAAGTTGCCGGACTTGGATCATCACAAGTCCTTGGACATACAGTTGCACAAGTTGTAAACTCCTTAGGTGGAGTGCATATTCCTGGAAGTTTTATTGAAAAATTGATAATATATCAGAAATTTAAATTTTGTAAAAAGCCTCATTAAATATATCCAAACTCAAAGATTTCAAAGATTTCAACTAACTTGTACATCTGTCGTCATATGATTTTGTATAACCATCTAGGCAACCACAAACAAATTTTCCTTCCATACACAAACAGCCTGTATTTTCTGGTTCATTTCTTATTAAAGTTCCTGAAAACAAGCATAATTTTGAAGAAAAATATAATAGAACTAACATTTCTATAGAGTAGTATGTATGTTTATTCGTCTCGTAATAGTAATAGTACCCTAATCATACCCGCTTGATAATAATAACCATCTCTAGTGCATCCACATTCTTGCTCTTGTATACATCGTACACCTTCCCGCACATAACCTTCATCACAGACACAATTTTCAACAGCTGGAAGTGGACAACTGAATAGATGCATTTTGTTATTTTATATTTCGCTAAGTTTTTAACAAGTATAAAAGTTATTAAAACAGATAAAAAGACATCAACTAACCTTTCTGAGGCTTTGGGATTTTGGCATGTATTAGGACATGCACTTGCACAACCTTGATATGAACTATGGTCTGGACATGACATCATAGCAATACCAAATATTTTTCGGTAGTCACATGGAGGACTTGGTATGTCAGGATCAGGATTACGACAGTCATAAGTTGCAAATACTAAATCCTGTAAAACATTCTCATTAACTAAATCAACTTTTGTACACTACAAAATTTGTGATCTGATTATGAAATATTTTTATATACATTCAAAATCAATCTGAAGGATGCCAATATCTTAATGTAAATAAAATTTTAAATTTGGCACATCTAATTACAGTAAAAATACCCTATTCACGTCATTCTTAATGTTAGAAACGAAAATTAACTAGTTTTACAATGCTTACCTGCTCTAAAACATCTTTGTTTCCATCTGTTGCACACATGTCAAACACACAACTTTGATAATGTAATTCACCATTTTCACAAGATAAGAAATATTCATCAGTCAAAAGAATTCCACAATATTCATTGGTTGACCTGTACATGAAGCAACAGACACATTATTAGAATGAGATGAAATGAAATTGCATTGTTAGAATTAACAAAAAACGTATTACGTATGTGTAATGCTCCAAAACGATTATTACAAATAAATCAATATCTGTATTGAATATAATACTGGTAAAAAAAGTATAGGTGTGCACACTTAAACTTGACTTATTGGGTGACCCACCATCTGGTGTCTCCTTCTTTAGGACAATCAATAGAGGGAGGAGTCTTTTCCCCACATTCACCAACTTGATAACTATCACCGAATTCATTGAAATCCTTTGCCATCATGCCATTTCTCATCTTTAGATCATCTGATGGATCTCCATTATAGTCCCCACATAATCCACAGAGCTATACGTATTATAAATATTATATGAGAGATGATCGAAGCTAAGATTCATATGTTCGCCAAATTTCATCGTTTTTTCAAAGCCCAATCAAATTAATGTGGTTGAGGAATTTATTTCAGTGTTGGAATTGACTTTTTTGGTAAAATCGTGATTTTTGAGTTACTTTTTCAAATGCTATGCGCTAAATAAAAGTTTCAACTGAACTACGGTAGTACTTATGATGCAGACAAATCCAAATAAAACCTAAGAAAGAAACATTATATTAGATCCATCAATATATTTATGCCAATTAAAACCCCATCGCATGTTGAAGGAAATCAGGTTTACATGCTCATACGTAGCTTATATGGTGGATTGCAACTCTTCCAACAATGGTCTTTGGATTTGCCATTCCAAGCCACGACCCTGCTTTGAGTACAATTTGTTAGCGCTGTTATAAACAAAATTCAAGTGCTATGGAATTACTTTATTCTTGTATGCTTCTGGAGCTTTGACAATCACAGCATTCCCATTATAAGTTACTTCAACTCCGCAGTCTGTTGTTACAGTTATTGCTCTCCCTGTGTTTCTTAAAGTAAAGCTAGCTGAGGTTGCTTCCACAATCTTTTTTCCATTGATCTGAGAAATGATTCTTAATAATATTATTTATCTTTTAGTATTTAGGTTAAATTTGAATAGGTAGCATACATACCAAAGCAAACTTTTCTTTCTCATCTTTTGCAAGAGTGATGTTTATTTTTCCTCCTTCCAAAAGTATTCGTGCATTTTTCACCCAAGATACACCTTCTCTGTTGAAACGTTTCTCATTTTCGACTCGAACAGAAAACCATCGAGGATTGGATTTATCAAGATCACAAGTTTCAGACATCAGGTACGTGCATAATCCCATAAAATCAAATGTGCTGCTTCGGCCGTACTGAATATAATGAGGATCTCCCCATGCTCTGCACACGTCTCGCGCTTTATTCAAAAATAAACACAGATTGATAGCTAACTTAATATGGTGATAAGCTAAAAAGATACCAGCCAAATCGACTGTTCATGGTATCTTTGTATTGATCAGCATAAAATATCGTTGATATTTGAAGGGATGATAAGTCTTATGAAATAGCAGTTACAGTGACCAATTGAGATAAATCAATATACAGCAAAATATCAGTATTTGGTAAAGTTATAATGTGGCGCAGTTAAAAATGGCGTAATTTGAAGAAAGGTAAAGGCCATGTTGCGTAATCTCATCAACATACATCATGTCTTAATAAGGTTTCAGGGCAAAACATATACATTTGTATATATATTTAAAAATACACGAACTACAAATTTATTCAGCTCTTATATTGTTGTAAAGCTAATATTCAATTGGATGCAAGACATTTATCGTCAAAGATAGGCAGTAAGAAGAATATAGGAAAATCTGGTAAACTTCTTAAGCTGTTTAAACTACTTTCTGAAATACGGGATCATAACTTTTGTATCGTCATACTCACTTGAAATGCAATCGTAAGATATTTTTTTCAAGAATGAAACAAACTTGCTTGGTAAATGGCATGCAAAAATACAGAAGTTTGAAATTGTGAGACATCAAAAAACTAATTATTACAACAAAGTCTCGGAAACATTCACCGAGTACGTTACTGCTATTCAATTAATTGAAAATTATATTCCAATCATACCTGGACATTCTGACGGTTTTACACATTGACTGCTGTCTTTGTCAGATAGAATCATGCCATCTGGACATACACATGCTTGCCTGCATTCTAGTGTACATGCTTTTGGTGGAAGATTATATTTGTCCAGACACGAACGAGGACAAGATGGAGCACAATTTGAGTATACCATTGTGGGGGGACAAATACCTGGTGAATAAGAATATGTACTAAATATCGTGCGAAAATAGCAAACATAGTCGTATGGCGTATGAACGATAAATACAATTGTGCATTTTAGAACAATAGTTGGCTGAAGAAATATATGTATCTTCAACTGGTTAATCGGTTCATGAGTCTAAAAATCTAGAGACGTGAAATTATCTTATCTTGAAATCTTGTTATTGTAAGCTAAATAAGGATACATATTGCAGAAGTAAAAACTTAAATTTGAACGTCAGAATGATGTCTGCAAATCTTTATTGAATAGATATTAAATAATTCAGATAAAAAAAATGCAAATAAAAGACTCAAGTACTTGTACAAACAATGCCGTTATCGCTTTCTTCTTGTTTGTACCCTTCTTTGCAAGTACATTCAAAATTGTTTTGTCCTTTGCATGTACAGATGGAAGTTGACTCTTCATATGTATCTCCTACGAAGGTTTGAGAAAAACAAATGACAATATCACAGTTACACAGAAATTACAAAGAAAAACTTACCGAGACTGGTTCAACAATAAGTCTCTTTTGTATGCCTAATCACGACATAAACAAATGCAATTAACATGAACTACACCTATAGTAAATATTTACCGTAGAAGTCATCGCAATGCCTCTTAAAACTGAGTTTAATTCACAAAATAAGTATCAGTCAATGGCATAACTCAAAGGGGTGGCCCAATCGCATGACGCAGGAGAATGAATGCGACTCAAACTCGATAATTTCACTAGTTTCGAATGTTGCAGGCTAAACGATAAAATAGTATAACTTGATTTATTTCATTTCAAGTCTTCAAAACGGTACCTTTCGAGTAAACACTTCCTCCAACATTACATCCACATTGGTTTCGTTTAATGCACTGATTTCCTTCCCTCAAATATCCTGGATTGCAAACGCAGTCTTCTATAAATGTTTCGTCTTCACAACTGTTAAATATGTCTATTGGTGTAATCGAGCTTAATAAAGAGCGATTTATAACTTCTGCTCTGTGGCGATACATGTGACATATTGCTGTTCACTCGATTGATGGGTAACGCAATAGAAACTGGACTACTAAAACCAAACTAAAATGATACTTTTAATATATAAAGTAGAGCTTAATTGTAAAATTTCATGAAATGAATGGAAGTTATCCCCAGTTTAATACGTATCATGCAAATTAGAAGTTCAATTAGGCCATGGTTTCAAGTGTGATAATTGCAACGTGATGCTTCAACATTAGTGGCATAAGACATGACTCAGAACTAGAATATCTAATATATTTAATTGTATCAAATATTTATATATAAATCAACTGATTTGTGAGCGATCGCGACACTTCAGCATCTCGTACCTGTTGGCCGCTGTTGGGTTGTTGCACGTGTTAGCGCATGGTGATGCACAACCAACGTATCTGCTATTTGGTGGACAACGTAGTCCCCGTGATTTAGTCTTTCTCCTCCAATCACAAATAGGAACGCCTATAGCCAGACAATCTTCTGCATAACCACGTAATGCCTTAAAGCAATATGATTATTAAGTCGATAATATAAAAACAATAATTCAGAAAAATTAAGCAAGATGTCGACATTAATCCACTAAATTTGCACACTATACAAATTAGTTCTACTCTGTAAAGGTCATCATCAAGCGCGAATTTTTTTTCCTGAAGTCAGCGAGTAAACGTGTCTTCGAGTAGCTTAGTAGGTGTCCTGCAGCAAAAATTCGTGAGTGTGTGAATAAACTAATACTAATACTATGCATTCAGTGTTGAACAGTTTTATTATTGCTTCAAATTGACCTTAATATACTGCCATTTGATATCCGAGATATTTTCCTACTGTAAACAAATAGTCATGTCTAAACATTTATTATGATCCAAAATTGTGTATAAAAGTTAACTAAAAATACTGAATATTAAATTTTACATAGTGGTTCATTGACATAATTATAGGGATTAAAGATGAGAATCATCTTTCAATTCGCTGCTTGTTTACCAGCTCCTGATGAACATTCTTATTATTCATCGATCGGATTTTTCCAAATCTGATTCCCCTCCCCAATATCGTGTCTTACATTTATTGGGCGTCCCGACTTGTATATCAATAACTGAAATTTCCATGTGCAGGTTCAGACGTAATTTATTGCGGCATGTTGGATACATTGAACTTTATCTACCAATCACCAAAACTCGTATTCGTTAAAATTCTAACTTTGGCTTTAGACACAAACATACTTCCGCATAAGGATTGATAAGGATGAGTCCGCATAAGGATTTTATGTTTGTTCAAAATACATTGGATGCGCGTTATATAAAAAAATATCATTCCCCAACCTCAGACCTCACACTAGCTCAGGTTTGATACTTTACGATTTTAAATCATTTGTGAACGCGGTTCTTAACTCAAATATTGTTAAACCTAAAATTTTGGAGTTGACGAATTGTTTTTAGTTTCAGTTAGAATTCCTATATTTCCGTCTTTCAAATGTCTAAAATTTCGAGTCTTTCAAGTTAAAAATTTCGATGAGATTTTGATCAGGTACTACCTTCCTAAGAATCTGCGATATCCAGCTTTTTATGAATATGATTATACGACTTCAAATATAATGTAAGCAAGCAACGCTAAACTCTTAAAGCAGAAGCCGAGTCTGAAGTTTTTCACATACAAATTGTTATAAGAAATTTGGTGGAACGTCCCAATCCCGAAAACGCCCAAGAACAGTTTTGTTTAATGAAATTTTTTGACTATTGTTTAGTTCATACATAAATTAAACTATAAATCATTAGTTATAGGAGCTTGTGTTATAATAGCTTTACCTCCTCAAGATCATCTTTATCGCCCCCAGTCGCACACTGATCGTAAACGCATGATTCATAATACGGTGTTGGGTCGATGTGAGGTTGACATGGGTCATAAACCCCATCCGTAATGAGCCATTTGCATTCATCTTCCCTGTAAAATGTGATGATGTACATTTCAAAAACGAAACAAAAATGTGTTGAGTATTTAGATCATCTATTACGTTTTTTACAAACTCGTCCCAATTACGCTTCTATTTAGTGAACTTGTAATGTGAAAAAACACATCACCTATATCGCTCTGTTGTATCTTGATGTTGAATACAAATGCAATGCTGTACCTGTAGCTTAATTACGGGTTTTAAGTCTATGTTATTAACAATTGTATTAGCAATTAATGACTCGGTGGCGTAGAGAAATAATGTTATGACATCAGAAAGACTTATCAGTTATTTCAATCGTAATATTTTGTGTTTAAAGCGATAGCTGATCAATATCTTGTTTTGTATCGTAAGTTCAGATAGGACTCTTATAGGAGCAAGAATAATCGTTATTTGAATGGTCGTAAGTCTGGCATTTCGCCAAAATTTTCTCACAAATATCGATTGCAATTTCGCTATGAATATAGGCTATGCATAAAAACTCTGTTTTCGTTATTTGTCCAACTTTGATGCATCCTTGGCTAGTGCTAAGCACAACTCGCGCTCTAACTTTTTTTTATAATTTGAGCAGTTTAACATAAATGAGTTTTACAGTAATATCAAACAAGTCACCATTTCTGTCTTTCTTCGTCTGAACAACCACCGCTTCCAGGCACTTCTCCGCACGCCACAGTTTCGTGGCTAATGGCAAATTCTGCAAAGTCGCTTGCTGTAACACCCGACTCCATCACCAAGTCGTCTGAATTGTCGTCGTTGTAATTACCGCATATGCCGCAAACCTGTAACATTCAAACACCTTTAATTAAAACGTGATTATATACAAAATGATTCCGAGGAATATTTTCGAGAGCTGCAGATCATTTATCACGAATCACATTTGCGACTTATCGATAAACGTCATTGATGAAAATGCGAAAAAAAAAATTCCCCAAAATACTAGATATAGGCTAGTTGTACAATATCAATGTTCATCAATTAAAATGAGAATCAAGGAGAACTAATTCTTTGTTGCTTTATAATACGACTATAGAAAACGTAATATAAAAATTTGATTCGAAGTATATTTTAAATTACAAGAATCTTCAACAAGACATTTTTTCGTATGCAAAACTTTAAAAAGTATTGACGAAAGTATTGACGAAAGTATTCCATCACGTAAAAACATGTTTATTCGTAACGGATATGTGATAAAAAACGCGTGTGATATTTAAGGTTGGAGAACCTTGCTTAAACACAATTAATACCTGATTGCGGTAACTACTGGGCAGATTGATTGTCATTCCATTGCCATTGTAAGAAACGCGAAGTCCAAACTTGGTTGTGAAAACGATGTTGTTATTTCCGCTGACTGAACATTGATATAAATCATTTCTCAGCTCTCTCACTACTTTTCCATTTTCCTGAATAATTTAAAACACAAATATTATTCATACGTTTAGGAGTTTCATATTTGTTGAATAAAAATTGAACATTCTTTTTAATAACATCTGTTACCTTGACAACCCCGTCTTTTTCGAGCCTTATTTCAACAGTTCCTGCTTTTAGTTTTATTATGATTAAACTGAGATATGAAACGTCGTGCCGATTTTTTCGCACTTCATTTTTCGCTTGAATAGAAAACCATTGTTCGTTGGAGGAATCCATTTTACAGGTTTCTGCCATTCTGTAAGTGCACTTTCCCATGAAATCGTATCGTTTTTTTCCGTCGAATTGAATGTAGTGAGGATCTCCGAAGGCTTTGCACCTTGCTCCCCTCCGGATAACTAAAGATAGTAAAAAGTACTGCAATTTGCAAGCATGTTAGGATGCTTTAAAGTATATTTATTTTATCTACGCTGTGTGTAATAAAATGATACTTATCTATAATATAATCAATGTCGGCCTGCATGTTCATTCTTTCAATGTTCATAATATTCAGTGAAATCGCATAATAACATTAAGTTAATTAACCATATTATCCGAGAAGAACACATCGATTCTTCACAATAAAAAATTGCGACAAGTCATTCTTTCATTCACCGTACACCTATAGCGCAACGGCATTGTCATGTTTGTTTTGGCTGATGCACCACAAACCGGTATTTTGTAATTGAAACCTCCCGGCAATAAACGTTAAACACTAGAATAATTCGAGGTTGACTAAAAGCGCTGTTTGTGACATGAGAACATTCAGTTGCGCAGAACCAGTTTTTTTTAGTGGTAAGCCTAACAGAAACACTTGAATAGTCGTGTAGTGGTATAAAAAAAATCCGACGATTGTCAAGCCGCAGATTTAAAAAAAATTCTCGACTGTGTTACATACAATACATTTAGAGTTTATATTTTACACGGTGACAAAGATGATATTCTGGTAATTTTCATCAGGCTGCTAAGGCAGCGTAAAAACACGAGAGATATCTCTCGATTATACTCGTACATGCTCGAAAGATACAATCAAACTAGACGGTTTCTCCTGTTCGCGCTCCTACAGCCACATGCTAAGCTAATATTTATGATAGTGGTTTTCACTAATAACTAAATTAATCGAATATGTCAGCCAACGCCCTTGAGAGCAGCTACAATTAAAAGTTGACTAAACAAAATATTCTCGCTATGATAGATTAAAGAGGCTTTAACTGCAGTTATTAGAAACGCAAAAGCACCGTGGGCGACGGGTGAAACCGGTTCAAATATACAAAATATTGTTAATTAAGGAGTGCGCGTTAATCTTATTTGTATCCTGTATATTAGCAATTCACCTGCTCTTTCACATCGTGGAGGTTTTGCTGACCATTGTCCCCCTTCAAGACATTTTAGCATTGCTTGGCCGATCATGTTATATCTATTTTGACAGGAATAAGTTAGCTCGTATCCTATAGGAAAGCTTGAACGCCCTGGTCTTCTTCCATTCTTTATAGGTCCAGGATTTTTGCATTTTCTGAGAGCCTCTGAATTGGAATAAAAATTCGAATTCAGATTAATATTTTCGAGTTACATGGCGCAGAACAATTATTAGCAGCGATGTCAAATGTTCAATGTATCCATGTCGCAGCTAATTCGGGTTTAAATTTTCATTTGACACAATAGAGGAGTTTCCAAAGATGTATTTTTCCGACGTGGAATATTACTTTTCTCCAGTATACGTGCGTTTTTTAAATCAATTTTCAGTAGTATATAGATTTAATGACTTCTCACTTTTCTGGCAGCAATATCTAATTTTGTAATCGCTGCATGTTTTTCCACGACGTTGTCTTGAGTTTAGGCAAACCACTCCATAAGTACGGGCTATTTCTAGAACATCGTTTCCATCGTGGTAATCTCCACCTTCTTTAAGTTGAACCTGGAATGAACACATATTCATCACATCACTCCATAAAATGCATATCGTCTTACTGCACATCACAAGGTCAGATGATCATCTAGGGCAGGGGTGTGCAACCTGCGGCCCGTGGGCCAAATGCGGCCCACAAGAAAAAATGTGCTGCCCGCGGAAAAGTGCCAGTTTTGAAGGGCGTGCGGCCGCGAAACGAGTTTTTAATTTAGTTTAATCTGGTACGTACAACTAATTTTCAATCCCTTTGCGTTGCAAAGCCTATGTCTGAGTACAATTTATTATCTTCGCCGATAACGTTACAATGCCCTAACAGATAGCTTGTTCCAAGCGAACAACGCTGTCATAAGATCAACAACTAGAAAGTCTATGTTAATAAAGGTGCGGCACGCGGATTCACCCGGTTATTTGTATTTGGTCAGTCTGTATTTAGGGTTGCACACCCCTAATCTAGAGTACTTTAGAAACATCATTTGAAGTTTGCGTCCGGTGTGTTTATTATAAGTGTGTGTTGTCATTTTTGCACCAATGAAGAGTTCAAAATAAATTATCATTAGTCAAATGTCGTCGAATAATAAAAACATTACTTTTATTATACCTAGGTTGCTAATAACAACATCAAATATCGCTTATTAATTTCCAGTCTAGTGACCGTGTATTCTTGAAACGGTACTCCTGAATGTATAACAGGGTTAGGGTTAGGCCATAATTTTAGGTACAAATACTACGGGAGTTACTTGGCTAGTCCCCGAACTCGTAATAGAACTAAAATAAGGAAAATTGGAATAAAATTATGGCCCAACCCTAACTTGGTACATATACTATGTTCCTGTGTCCGCCATCTTGGTACGCATATTCAGGAGTACCCATGAAACATATTGTGCATATGAGAAACATTTTTATATATACAGTCAGCAGTTGGGGTATAATCGGGAAGTAACAATGGTTATTTATCAATGGATTTGGAAATTACTTTTACTAATGTGGTATCAAATATGTACCACCAAACATGCCTTGATTGATTCATTTAAGACATTTAAACATATGTAAAGATTAATATATCACCATATTCCTTAGCGCGAATGGATCGCACATATATATTCTTACCGCAACAAATAGGAATTTTAGGTTTGTATTATGTAGCTTTTTTTTTTATCTCCGAATATTTGGCACTTGCATCACAAGCTGGGGCGGTTTTTGTGGCCAGATCCACGAATTCACATAAAATTATTATGTCAAAATATGGATTCGAAAAAGAATAAGAACCGAAACGAGGTAGCAACAGCGGCCCTATTGTTTTGTAATAGTGTCTACATAGTGGTATATCGCATCAATGTTCAACCCTAATGCTTTCAGGGGCCGCACATATATTTTAGTTTTTCCGCGGGCCGCAGACTAAATAACATGCTATAATCACGAAACGCAGTTTCATTTTTGCGAAATATGACAAATGTGAAGAATGAATGATAATTTCAAGCAGTAATAAGATATAGACAGCATAGTAGTTCACTTCGGAATCTAGTGCGAAACCTATTTTTAAATGTTCTCCAACTTTTTAAATTTTAATATCGACGGGCATCTTGAACACTGAGCAAGGTAGTGTTAGTCATAGGTGTTCTTGAGCCTGCTCATATTTGACAATTTTTTTGTTTCTATATTTTCTCTGGAGATCAATGAATTAAAGTTGTTTAAATTCCACAGCCTCTTCCACTGGAATGTGACACGAACACATAAAATTTTAAATAAATTGTGGCCATATTTCAAATTAAATTGACACATGCATCCGTAATATTACGTCACATTTGTACAATGCACAATAGGCTTGCACGTAATTTACGGATTTACGGAATTACGGAATTATTTCGAGTTACGGAAGGGAAGTTACGAATTACGTAAAGTCGTAATTATTGGTCGAGCAATTTCGCGATTGAAACGAGCTCTCTTCAGAGCAGTCAATTCCGTCGATTGTAAAAAGTTTAAGTAAAAGAAGTTAGAGTTCCGGTATTCGCAGCCGTTTCTCTCTCTCTTGTTAGGCAGATGGGGAAGGCATAACGCGTAATTTACTAACCTATTATCAACTTATCTAGGATGGCCAATGTACATATTAACCGTAGATAAAGAATAGAATTGTGTTGAGACCGATGGACGTCAACACACCTGGTTTCAACTTCTTCGGGTGAAATGACTAAAGAATGTAAGAGATCAACTTATAAAACATGGTCTTTTTGTAAATGCCGTGATAATTAATGTCGCGCTTATCAAACAGCAATATAAAGACGGAAGAGAAATTGCGTAATGAACCGACGCAACTTAGTCTTTTCGGCATCGGTAAAGCGATTGAGACGGCAGATATACAACAATACGACGGGATTCCCGGGTTTTTTTCTGCGCGAGATCCATTTTCTATTACAAAATCTTGATGTATTGTTACCGATTTTATCGTTATATATCTGTCCGGACTTGGCATTTCTCAATATGTTTTTCACAATGCCTCGCAATATGTCGGCCAAATATGATTACCTGTCTTTACCAAATGCGGCAACTTATTTTGATTTATCGTCGACTCGAATACCACCGGCACTCGACCAAACTTGTGTCAATCTTGGCAAATAGGATTGTCGACTTGAGTTAGAAAAATAAATTAATATTTTCATGAGTGCAAAATAAATGTCACAAAATGCATTGTTTTGCGACATAACTTTGTATTTTCGGAGAAGGCATGTCATATAAGTACGGTATTTTAAATAATGCGCAAATAATTAATATTTGATCTAAATTTATTGCAAATAATGTTATAACTTTTAGGCCGCGAAATGATTTAATGTAGAATGAAGCATGGAATTCGGAATATCGTCAATAAGTCGGCATCAATAATTATCATAAAATGCTAACTAAGTAGTAAAGTCGGATATTGTAGAAAACGGTGAAATAACAAGTCTTCGTCGCGAGGCAAGCGAAAGTATAATCAAACGAGAGAATACGCTTGTAGTTGATTAATAAATTAGCAACCCGGAATTTTTATTTAATACGAAAGTCGTATTAATACGTTAATACGATTTTAAAAAAGTGAACTATCGTTTCCTAAATATATTACCAGTGTTGGTAATGATAAAATTGATCGCATAAAATTTGGTGATAAAGTTGATAAAGGAAAATCAAAGCTAATACAAAAGATAAAAATCAGAATAAAATTATTTTGAATTCACTTCTTGATATTTGTCTTTAACATCTGTAGCCGGCGTGTAGTACTGCCGGGAATATGAAAACCAAACTCCGATGTCCCATTCGGAATAGAAGTGGATTAAATTGGTTGTTATGATAGGTTTAAATGTGTGAAAAAAATATCGCAATTACGGGGTCATTACGTAATCGATTTGGCCGTAATTACGGAATTGATTTTTGTCAATTACGTGCAAGCCTAATGCACAAGAATGATTTTATCTGATTGATAAAGTTGTGAGTTTTACTGTGAACAGCTAGCTAAAGATCTGCGGCAAAAACTTCTCGAGGGCCGCACAAGTGTGCCCGCGGCCGCGGGTTGGACACCGATTGTTTACCGGATCTAATATCGTTGTATCGTATATATCGTTGATTGAATACGCGACTGGCACTTTTTCGAGACAGTGCAATCACATAGGCGCCAACATTGCCTACTTTCCAATAAATCCCATCTTATGTTAAGTTACGTATCTTTAAGCCAATCGCTACTAATATTCCCACTCACCTCTATGGCAGTTGGATCTCTGCAGCCTTCTTTTAATATGCGATGATGACTAACCAGTTCGACATCGCCAATACGCATCGGATTATCCGTCGAAAGCCAGTCTCCCCATCCAGCATTACCATCGTCGCAGTTACCGATAACAGTACGACCTTGCAACAAAAAATTGGAAACAAATCAAGTACGTATAAAAGCAGTGTAGGAGTAATGTCAATGATTTTAATATCTGTTTTGCATGAAAAAAAAATACAAATCCAAACGCTTCTAATTCAGAGTTGAAAGAAAAGCATAACTTTCATAAACTCTGATATATGCATGTGCGGCATAAAAATTGAAAAAAACGTAAAATTAATCACCTGGAACTTCACAACGATACTGGACATGGATGTACTTATGATGTGAGTCACGGATATAACTTTTCAAGCAACGAGTACTTGCCATTGAGGAATCGGTTGCGGACAGAACGCACTGGTTCATACCTTCACAACTCTCCCATATTAGCCTATACGACTGACTTTCGGGATTGCAATTCCGTACCTTGGTGTCGGGCGCACATCTAAATTGAAATTGTTATGATTGTAATTGATAAGATGTTTTAAACGTTGTAAACAAAGGAATGGTGTCGTACTTGGTTCATTCGGTCACCCTATGATAGATCGAGGGTGGTGGGAAATACCTGTGAATAAAACGTTTTAAAAATTAGTAACAGGGGTTTGATTTGCGTTTGGAACCTGAACTTCAAGCCTTGTGTACTGGAATCATTCACATCGTCTGCTAAGCATTAAACACAAATTAGCTTCTAATTTGTACAGGATCATACTTGAACCGGAAGAACCGGAATTGCAATTATTTTGTAACGAGCCGTTAAAACTTATTATTTTGCCGTATGGCGAAACGCGACCCTTTTCTTAATTCATTCGAGCGGGAGCGACCGACTACCTGTTAGCTTCACTAACTAATCCAATGATAAGATTTGTTTACATGACTCTATCTCTCATTGACCCAATTGTTATGTTATAATTAGTTCGCCCATTACCCAAGTGACTACGCCATCTGCGTATGCTCTTTGAAATCATTGTGCTAGCAGGCCGGCCACACAAGACTGTTCTATGCAGCAACGTGGTTGACTTTACATCAGCGATGCTGCCGATTTGAACTGCAATGATTCTGCTTTGGAGTAAAGAAACAACATACGAATCGTGATTATGAAACGATAATTGTAGAGATGCGCATTGACTTTCTTGTTCATCTCCGTAACAACTGATACTCAGCAATAACCTTGCGGCTACGTGACAATTTGAGCATCAGCTCAGACTCTTTCAAAGCCCAGACAGAGTTTCAAACATGGTCGTAAACACTGTCAATTGGAGACAGTTGCATTTTCCATAACTTTGCACAAAATTGGATTCCTCTTATAAACTTCTGGTTGTGCCCCCTGGCCCCTAGTTTTAACTGTTCAAAACACAGCACGGTTTTTCGATGACAGCGTGCGCTCTTCGAAAAAAGACAAAAGAGGGCATTGTAAGCTCGGTTCTTGCATTCCCAGAAATACCCAATTAATAACCGCAGCATAAACCGTTTTATAGGTTGCGAGGGGGCCCATTTTCAAAATATAGTTTTATTGATTAATCAAATGATTAACATGATTTTTTGCCGCTGGACACTATTAAAGAAAATGAATGTGGGATTTGAACCAAAAACATTCAGGAATTTCTGTAAAAGTTCATAGATTTGAATTAGATAATAGTTGGAACCATTGGATGTACGTAATTTAAGTAACGGTAAGAGTTGTTTTAGCACTCGCAGTGTCAACATCTCAACTGATAGAATAGTTAAGGCAATATAAGACAGTTCAGCAGTTGGCAAAGTTTTCTTTCCAGTAGGCCAATTTGTAAAATTCAATGTCAAAATATACGTTTGCGTACCAATAAAAAAAAGAACTTTTTTATTGAAATCACCATCGGTGAAAGGCTTCCCGCAAACACAAAATCTGGTATAAACAACTCTTGAAATTGGCTTACATCTGATTTTGACCTCTTGGCTATAGGCATCGCGTTTATCACCACGGTTAAAAACGAAATGAACGCAAATACCGGCATGCGAGCGAACAATAATGACGTAAAAATAAAAACGATAATGATGAATCAATAAGTAAAAACAGCAAATCTAACCATGTGTTTCGCACCGAATGTACGGGATTTGATTTTTATTATTTTAACATATTAAAAGCCTGTTTTTGAAAAAAATTTCGCGACGCCGCGTGCCGTATAAAATCACCTCGCGTCCCATGATTGGCACGCGTGTCGGGAGTTGCCCACCCCTGCTAGGAAAGGGCGCTACCATGTGGCATTCCGCCAAGCTCAATTCACCGATCATAACGTCGAACCTGATGCCCAGCTAACTCTTTACCGGTACCGATGGGCATGTGAAAAACCACAGCAATAGGCTTCAATATTAGTTTACAGCATTTCGTGTAGACGAGCGCGTAAAATGCATTTTGAGAAACACTAATTTTGGAATCAAAAAATATGGCACGGACGTGTATACAAGTTGTCAGTCAGTCAGTCGTTTATTTTTCACCAAAATGAAACATACACGTAATGCGAACAAAAATTAGAGAAAACATAAATAAAGGCATTTCATGGTGAAGGGTGACGCGAAAAAACCAATGTTGGTTATCTAGCAGCGACACCTGTGATAAATGTCTAACTTTGATACAAGTAGAATAGAATAAATCGAACACATTTAAGCAGTGAAGGAAAGAATGTCCAAGAAAATCCAAAACCGTAACAAAAAAAGAGACTCCAGGCACAACCAGGGTAATCATGGGCAACAGTATAGTAATATAACAGCAGTCCGACCACAGTCAGCGTCGTGAAACCCTACAAGAATATTGCTTTTGAGGCCGCGCGGTATGATAGTGGCCATGTACGCCGGGATACGTAATTAAGGCAGTTAGTTATTAAGAAATATATTTTGAAATATAAGCACATCTTGATGGTTACAATTATCTTAAATATGGGAGCAAGTTCAAGAAAGTATTAGCACTGTGGTATGGTTTCCGTTTATGGTTTCCGTTGGCCACATATTGGCGTTGAAGCGATGCTTCTGGATGAAAAAATTTCAACCTATATTCCTTGACAAAACGCATCGTTTTTTATTTCCGTCAGTTTTCCCAAAGCGCAAAAACGTTAAGTACTAAATAAATGTTTCAGTGAGCAAATCTGATGTCGCATGTTATACATATAGTACTTAAAGTAATCAAGTAAAGACTTTATTAATCTTCTGATCGGCAAGGAAAAATACTTAATTGTTAGTCTCTATGATACAGTACAGTAGTAGATCTCAACTATGTAAGTCAGTAGCTTCAGTAATCAGTAGTTTTTTCATCATAATAAAAATAATATTACATATAAAATGAAGTGGAAACGTTGCATTTCAGCGTGAAAGGAGACGCGATAAACCATTAGGCAGCAGCAAAACATGTGAGAATATCCTATTTCAAATTATACTAGGGTAAAAAGTTGAACACAGCATAATAACAAAAATGTGGCCGATGAAAACTTTGAAACGACTAGATATTTTCACTATTAACTCTATATTTTGGTGTGACTATTATTACATTGCAGAAATTGTTGGACGCGAAATCGCCCCGAATAATTTGTTGCTGCATTGTTGTTTTTTCTGTACCTCTGCATCTAATGGTCAAATCGATTTCAAATGAAATTTCGGAAATATGAGAACCCTTCAGGTTTTCGCTCTCGCCCATAGATCTGTTTAGCAAATTCTATGTTCAGACGGCCCACCAATTTTTGCACGAGCGTGTCAGCTTTTCGACGTTTGTTCATATTGTGTTTCCGTTATTTTATCAAGTATTGCCTCTATTCTTGATGAACTGTTCGGTTGCCAATGGGCTGGTAGATTTGGGTCTCGAAACAGATGTAATAGTGGTGCTCAATGTATAGATATATGCCCATCCATTAAATATCTTTTGAGGTTGTGGAGTACACTTAAAAAATTGTAGAGAAGTTTTTATTTCTATGTTTTAATTGCGGCAACATCTGTCCTACTCCTAACGTAACAAGATAGTGGATAGCTTTGTTGACTAAAACGATTGGTTGCAAACTAGAAGTTTAGTAAGAGGCATACAGGGAAATCGTTTTTGTGATAGATTACACATACAAACCATTTTTTTCGCATGTTGTGCTGGAAATAAAGGAATAGTTATGATATCACAGTTCATGTGTATGGCTTAATTTTATATTTCAATTTTTGAAAGAAGTAACAAGATGCGCGTGCTATGAGGAAATATATTGTACATTTGTTTAAATTTTATAAAGTGAAATCATTCACATGTTTTTTACATCCAGACAATACAAATATCGATACACAATTTTATAAAAATTTCAATCACCTAAATATTATTTATTGATGTATTTTCCTTTCTGTTTTACTATTTGAGTCCAGTGAATCGTTTATATTGTCACAGTCCAAACGGCTGGACACTTCATGGTTACCACTTACCAGTAATGAAATTTTTGCTTTGAAAAAAATGACAATAAATGATTTCATCCAGTCCTCGGCTCGACTCGATTAAACCTAATATATATCTAGATGACATTTATACCGATTAATCTTTAGTGTACATAACAGCTTATTGATGCGAAAGTTGAGTTTCAAAGTGTGTGGCATATCAACTTTCTTATCCTTTGTATAATAAACACAATAAGCAGCTTCTTATAACCTGGAATACGGGCGATAATACAGTTGTTAGTGATATATTGACGCAAGCTTATCGCATTTATGCGGGATTATAGCAAGTAGTTTTTATTATATGAATGAAGAGGTTGATAATATCCCCAATCGTATAAAAACCGGTTTGATATAAGGAAATATTTTAGAAGGTAAATCATAGCAACAAATTTAATATAAAATGAACTTTTACCACGATATAATGAGATTCAAAAGCGACGAGATTCGAATAAGGTTTTAGCACCAAAAGAATTGGTTATGGCTGAAGTTTAAAATAGAGAATTACAAAATGTCTGCATTCTCACCTTTATATTTCCCGAATTGTTAATAATCTAGGTAAATTTTTTTCATAAACTGTTTGATGAACACATTTTAGTTGATGTTGCTTGGGAAACAATTTCGTGTATTTGTGTAAAATGTTATATGGTACTTTCTTGCCTTTTACAAAATAAACAACATCTCATGACCTGGAATCCGACGATACACAGTAAGCGATCTAATGAAGATAAGCCTATCGCCGGTGTCAAATACTTGCGCTTATACGAGATTATGTTTGGTATCGTTTATTATGTGAACAAAGAGAAGAATAACTACTACAATCTTTTGAAGCATCTGAAAGCATGTTGTTGAACAAGTTGATATACGGAAACATTTTAGTTGGTAAAGTCATAATAAAAATTGTGATATTAATCATCACTCTGTTGCTTAAAGAGATTGTTGATTTCGCCAAAAGATATCTATTGAAATCGCGCTATGAAGTGGCTCCAAATCGACAAGATTCCCATCTTTATTAATTAACCAATAAAAATATTTTATCAGAACAATTCGCACATTTACTTTTATCCGAAGGGCATCGATTACTTTCCATATTATTGGGAAATTTTGCATC